GACAATATCTAGTGCAATTCGCTTGCCTAAGACCCCCAACACTTCTTCATCACTTGGCACTTTCTACCAGCCTGGCTTTTTTTTTAAATTATTTTTTATTATTTATTATTTTTATTTTATGTGTATGAGTGTTATGCCTGCATGTAGGTAAGTGCACCCGTGTTGTACAATGCCCACGGAAGACAGAAGAGGTTGTCAGATCCCCTGGAACTGGAGTTACAGACAGTTGTTAGCTGCCATGTGAGTGCTGGGACTCGAACCCGGGTCTTCTGCAAGAACAGTGTTCTTCACTGCTGAGTCATCTCTCCAGCCCTGTACCAGCCTGGCTTGTAAGAGTGAAAGATGGGTAGCAATCCAGGTGTCTATCTGGACCCAAGTCGCTAGGAACCTGTAGTGGACCATGAGCCAGGGGAGGCCTCATGGGTCTCCAAATGAGGGAGGAAGAAGAGGATTTGTAGGGGTGGAACCCACTCTTGCCACACAGAGTTGGGACAAGGCCTGCACCCATGTTCTTTCTTGTTAGCCTCTCAGGCTGTGTGTGTGTGTGTGTGTGTGTGTGTGTGTGTATATGTGTGTGTGTGTGTGTGTGTGTGTGTGTGTGTGTATTTTGTATTTTGAGATGGGTTTGGGGGAGAATCTCACTGAGGAAACCTCAAATTTGCAATTCTTCCTCAGCTTCCCAAGTGCTGAAAACTGTGCCACCTCACACTATTAGCTGTGTTTTCTGTTCTTCTTCTTTTTTTTTTAAATATTTTTCTTCTCCTCCTTTCCCTTCCTTTTCTCAAACAGGATCTCACTATGTAGCCCAGGCTGGCCTCAAACTTGCATTAATCCTCCTTTCTCTGCTGGTATTCCACACATGCTTTTGGTTTTTGTTTATTTGGTTGTTTCTTTTCTTTCTTTTTAAAAAGATTTACTTTTATTTTGTGTGTATGTATAAGTGCCTGGTGCATGTATGTATGTATACCATATGGTGCCTGGTGCCTTTGGAAGCCAGAAGTTGCCAGATCCTGCTGGAACTGAAGTTACAGGTGGTTGTGAGCTGCCTGATATGGGTGCTGGATACCAAACTGGGGTCTTCTAAGGCATCTATCCAAACCCTTGTTTATTTTGTTTTGTTGTTTTTTTTTTGAGACAAGGTGTCGCTGTAGCCCAGGCTGGCCTGGAACTCATTATGTAGCCTAGGATAGCCTCAACTATTTGATATTCCTCCTGCCTCAGCCTTCCAAATACAGCAGGTACCACCATACCTGGGACCTATCTAAACTTTGGTTCTTGAGAGAGGCCTTTACCCATCTACACTGCTCTCTAGACACAGGTCCCATGAAGACTCTGGGGCAGAGCCTCCCCCAGTTGTGGGGCACAAGTTTCCCCGACCTAAGATCTCCCAGGCTGATGGATATGCAAAAGAAGTCTGGAGAAAACCTACAGAAAGGCCTATGATGCTGCAGATAGAAGGGGATGGCTAATGTGGTCAGCAGTGTGGACTTCTGGTCTCCCTAAGTCTCCTTACCTCAGCAACTGGGTCAGTTTGAATCCTGTGCTGCCAGCTCTATCACAGGACTACTTGGTTCCTCTTCTCTCATGCATCCAGTGACTGCTACCACAGGAAGCTCGACCCGCACTCTAGATTTCTCCTCCCCCTCAACTTGGACCTTCTTTTATCAGTGAGGGTGAGCCATGCTCTGGGAGGCTCTAGGTGACCAGCCTGATAAACTCATTCTGGTTAGAAGTGACATTCAGTAAGTGATTGAGGTTGGATCCCTGCTCTGTTTTTCTGTCTTGTTTTTTGTTCTGTTTTTGAGACATGGCTTCGTGTAACCCAAACTAGTCTTGAACTTATCAGCCTGCCCCAACTTCATAAGTACTGGTATTACAGGTGTGTGCCACCACGCCTGCCTCAGTTTGGTTCTAACTAGCTAACTGATCTGGGTAGGCCACTCAATTTGATATGTGATCCATACCTGTAAAATATTTCCAGATTCCCCACAAGGAGCCAATGGGACCATTTACAAGGAGGCACTTTGTTGTTGTTTTGTTTTATGAGACAGCATCTTGATATGTAGCCCAGGCTGGCCTCAAACTCTCAATCTCAGTCTGTCTCAGTCTCCTGTGTGCTGGGACTACAGGCCTGAGTCCCACACCTGGTTAGGAAGGTACTTTGTAGACCCTCAAGTGTCACAGAGGAATGACTACTGATAAAATGACCTTTCCCAGGGGCTTTCTTTTCACATGGCCACTGAAACCTCCAGACAATCTTTATCTTGGTGTGCTTCCAACAGCTGACCACCTGCACCTACCTGAGCAGCCCTGTGGTGTTGATGATCTGGCACTATGAATCCCAGCAAAGCACTGACTAACGTGGTGGCTTTTGGGTCACCATGGCAGAGTGGGAGTTTTGCAATGATGAACTATTACTCAGACCCTGGAATATGACAAGCTCCCAGGAAGGTGTCTGCTTTGCTGAACATAAGGCCAGCCCCAAAGTTTTAGGAAACACTTTCACCTCCATTCCTGAAGCCCAGGAAGGGGGCTCTAGGCAGAGAAGTCTGTAAAGATGATGGTGCCCAGAGCCCCCTTAATGCAGGGGACAGGCAGGCTCAGAGGTGCCTGAATAGAAAGTTAAAAAACAACAACAAAAAACCCTCCATGTCTTGAAGCCCCCCTCCCTCCCGCCCTTTTTGGCTTTTTTTTGAGACAGAGACTCACTATGTAACCTGGCTGGCCTGGAACTTTCTATGTAGACCAGGCTGGCCTTGAACTAACAGAGATTCACCTGCCTCTGCCTCCTGAGTTCTGGAATTAAAGGCGAGCGCCACTATAGCTGGCTTTGAAACACTTATTTTATTTATTGTTTTTGAAACAGAGCCTTGCTGCGTAGCTCTGGCTGGTCTGGTACTTGATATGTAGCCCAGGGTGGCCTGGACCTCCCAGCAATCCTCCTGGATCACTCTTCTGAGTATGATCTTGGTGGGTTTTTTGTTTGTAGACAGGGTCTTGTGTAGCCCAGGCTGGCCTTGAACTCTGGTTCCTCTTGCCTCTGCCTCCCAAGTGCTGGGATTAGAGGTGTGTGCTACCATGTCTAGTCTATAACCTTAGCTCGATGTATTCATGATGTCTTTTGTTTTGTTCTTGTGTGTTTTACTTATTTTTATTTTTATGTGTTTGAGTGTTTTGCCTACATGTATGTAAGTGCACCCATCGTGCAATGCCCATGGAGGTCAGAAGAGGGCGTTAGATCCCCTGGAACTGGAGTTACAGATGGTTGTTATAAGACTCAGACCCAAATTCTCTGCCAGAGCAGTCAGTGCTCTTAACTACTGAGCCATCTCTCCAGCTCCTGTTGTGGTTTTTTAAAATTATTTTTTACTTATGTGTTTGTGTGTGTGCGTATGCCACGTGTGGGATGTCCTTGGAGGCCAGAAGAGGATCCTCCCAAGCTAGAGTTACAGGCAGTTGTGAACTGCCTGACATTGGTGCTGGAAACCTAATTCAGGTCCTCTGGAAAAGCAGCAAGCTGTCTTAACTATTGAGTTATCCCTCTAGCCCACTGTTGGTGTTTTAAGACAGGGTCTCATGTAGTCCATCCTGGCCTCAAACTTACTAGGTAGCCCAGGATGTTCTTAAGATAGAGAACCTCCTGCCTCTGCCTTCCAAATTCTGAGATTGTAGGCATGTGCCACTATACCTGATATATTATTATTTATTTAAGACAGGGGCTGGGGCTGGAGAGATGGCTCACTGGCTAAGAGCACCGGCTGCTCTTGCAGAGGACCCAGGTTCGATTCCTAGCACACACATGGTGGTAACAACCTTCTGTAACCCAGTTCCAGGGGATCCAACACCCTCTTCTGTTCTCCGTAGGCACCTCATGACACAGGTACGCTCAAATGCATGCAGCTATAACACTCATATAAAATAATTTTTAAAATTTAAAAAGATAATAAAAATTCAAAAAAGAAAGGGTCTCATTCTGTAGCCCTAGCCTAGAATGAAACTTGTTATGTAGCCCAGGCCAGCCTCAGGCTTGCAGCAGTCCTCCTGTCTCAGTTTCCCCAGTGTTGGGATTCTAGGTATGGGCCATCATGTCTGGCAAACGCATTCATTTTAAAAAGCATCACCTCTGGGCATGTGTAACTGTATAGGGAGAGTATGAAAAAATGAATGACTCAGGGCCAGAGAGATGGCTCAGTGGTTAAGAGCACTGGCTACTCCTGTAGAGGAGCAGGATTGGGTTCCTAGCACCCACATGGCAGCTAACAATTGTCTGTAACTCCAGTTCCAGGAGCTCTGACACCCTCTTCTGGCCTCTGCAGGCATTGCATGCACATAATACACTTACTATGTTGCACAGGCTGGTCTTGAATTTGCATAGAAATGTCTAACTCTGCCTCCAGGGTGCTGGGATTACAGGTAAGCACCATCTCTTCTGGTTAGGGCCCAGATCTGAATGCGGTATGTCTGATTCTGAATCTCAGTCTGGCCTCTTGCCTTTGCCTTTGGCCATTACTGACCAGTTCATCGGTCTCTCTGGTTTTTCCTTTCCTTCTGTCATGTGGGACATTGAGCCCAGGGCCTTGCACGTGCTGAGCAAGCAATCTACCACTGAGGTACAGCCCTAGTCCTTGTCTTATCATCTTTTGAAAGTGTGTGTGTGTCTGTCTGTCTGTCTGTGCACACATGTGTGCAGGTGCCTGAGGAGACCAGAGAGGGTGGTTGCAGATCTTTTGGAACTGGAGTTACAGTGGGTTGTAAGCCCCTGAAGTGGGTGCTGGTAACTGAACTCAGGTCCTCTGGAACTGTCAAGCATCCCTCTACCCTCCTGTCCCCTCATCTTGAACAGACCTTCTCCTTTTCAAGTAATACCCCCTCTGCTCCCTTAAATAGCCAAGCACACAATAGGAGCTTTAGAAGTTGCTTTGTTCAGATGGGCACTGAGTCAACAGGACACTTCTAACAGCAGGTGGCAGCATTGGACAAGTTTTCTTGGAACGCCCAGGCTCGGGCCATCAGGCAAGTAAAAACTTAAAACTTTATTTTTGGTACAAATGATAAATATTTTTGTATTAAAAATCTGGAATTCAAGTTTTCCTTGTTCTTCATGCTCCCTCCCTGCCTGCCCCAGAGCCTTGCCAGAGTATTTCAGTTTAGAGGGAAGAAGAACTGGTGCCTGCTGGGGAAGTCTGAGCCTGGGGAAAGGCACATGTGGTCAGTCTCAGGGGCAGCCATCTCTCTGTTCCCCTATTGCCTGTAATCAGGCACAGTAACTGGAGTCTGGGTCCCAAGCAGCCCCTCGCTGGTGGAAAGGTGGGTGTTGCAAGCAGACTCCTTTGAGGGTCTAACCTTCAACAAGTTCCACAGAAGAAACATGCACATATATGCGAACATTTTAAGGGACATGAAGAGGAGAAGGGTACCAGTCTGGAGAACAGCTTTGTCGCTTTTGCCTCTCAGGTAGGCACAGGCTAGGTGTGAGGCTGTCCCTGCAAGTCTACACCCTTTCAAAGTCACACAAATCCCAGCAAGACTTCAAGATCAGGGGCATGGGAAGGTATGTAAGGCTTCAGATGGGGTTGCCGTGCCTTCTGGTGGCTGGTGGAGACTCTGAGGGCCCAAGCAGCTACTCTCAGGTTCTGCTCCCTATAGTCAGGGGTCCTCATCCCAGAGGCAGAGCTGCCTCTGTGGTACATAGAAGTTGAAGTTGTAGTTCTTCCTGCAGCTGCGAATGCCACACTTGTAGGGTGCTGGTCGATCACGGCTGTGGCAGTACTTTAGCATGCACGGGTACCAGGCCAGGCTCAGGCCATAGCGGCAGGCACAGGGCTTCCCTCGGTCTCCCACTTGCCCACAGCGAGGCAGCTCCACCTGTTCCAAGACCTTGGGCAAAGCCTCGAACACAGAACTGTCCACACCTGGCGGGGAGAGGTAAGAATGAAGGGGGTGGAAACACTTGTAACCCAGCCTCTCTTCTGTCACCCCCTCCCAAGGCTGCCCTGGGGCTGCAGAGATGAGACCTGGGGCTGAGGCTAGGCTAATGGGCTAGCTTAAATCACAAGCTTATCTGTCAGATCCCATCTGTGTGCTAGGAGGTCTGCGTAACTTCTTTCCACCAGCCCATGAACTGAGCATTGCCTTCCATGCAGCCACCTAATGCTTAACTAAAACCTCAATGTGCTGGAGCAACATGAGGGACTGAGCAGGAAATCAGGAAGGCTTCTCAGAGGACATAGCGCTTGAGTGAGGCTGGGCAATGATGGGACACCACAAACATGCCAGAAGAGGGGAGGGCACATGGAAGAACATGCATGGGAGGAGAGCTGGGGCAGGTGGCAGGGCGTGGCCAAGGTTCTGCTTAGTGACCATGGGAAGGAGCAGCTTCTGGGGTATGCTCATGTCAGGCTTGTAGGGTAGTTTGGGGTGTGGTCCAGTGGAAACAGGTGTGTACAGTCATGACCATAAAGTCCAGCAGGCCTCTTCTTGTGCAACTGGCTGGATGAAGGCCCAGGGACCAGCAGCTTGACTCTCCCTGTCCTTTCTACACAGAGGACCTGACAGTCCTAAGTAAGGGACCAGGAGCAGGGCCAGTGAAGTCACACAGGGGCTCTGCAGAGCTTGGATGAGGCCCTCAGAGTTTTGGGGCAGAGATGCTGGCACCAGAGAGGGTATGACACTGAGTTCTGAGAGGTGGCAGCAAACACGACAGTGGGACATGTGTCCTCAGTGACAAAGGGAGTGTCTGGGAGTCTCCTTCCACAGGACCTGGCAGGTTTTGTCTTTCTTTTCATCTCAGTGATTCTCCTCATCCTAACTACACAGGCACCACCTCCTCCAGGAAGCCTTCCTGGCATATCACAGCCTGGTTTGGGGGGTTCTCATCTTCTTCCCAGAATGCCTGTTGCTCCTGACTGCAATCTCACACTGAACTAGTGCATTACAGATCTACTCACTACCCACTGTAGGAACTGAGTGTCCACACTGAGTATATCTGAGTGGCCCATCCCTGCAAGGGCTCAGTAACTGTCTCATGAGCACATGAAAGAATCACTCAGCCATGTGTCACTTCCCCTCCCAGCTCTGTGCTTCTCCCTCAACCCACAGTGGGCAGTCCCCAGCTGACCTTGCTCCAGCCAGAACCGGACATCCTCCTGGCGGGTATAGATGGCATCAGCTGCCTCGGCACACACATTGTGGAGATGGGGGCTCAGCAGGCCCCCCTGGCTGAAATTCACTGCGATGTCCATATGTAGCTCCTCCAGGCCCCTTACCTCCTCAGCCTGCCGCACTGCACGGGGGTTTTTCTGTATGTGGAAGGTGGGAACCACTCCTACCTGGCCTCAGAGTGCTCTCAGCCATATTCCCCTGATCCCTGGAAGCCCAGAAAACCCAAGGCAGTGGAGGGACACTAACCCTGTCCCTTGAGAAACTGATACCCCAGGGGGAGTCAGGCCTTCCTGGATTCCACCCAGAGTAGGCTGTCCTTAGGACTTCTTGGGCCTGTTGGCAAGCTCAGGGTGCTGCTGGGAGATGGGGGTGGGCAGGCCATACAAGCTGTCCCAAGGTAAATGACCTCATGTACTTTCCAGGGGACTAAGTCTTTCTGGGAAGGGCAGGCAAAAGGGAGGGATAGGGAGGGGAGCATGTCATAGGGCAGGCCTGTTGCATAGGCCAGAGAGCCTGGATGAGCTGTGGGAGGCAGGGACACTAGGGAGGAATCCAACAGGGTCAGAGGGTTGAAGGGCAGGGAACACAGCTTCCTAACTGAGTTCTCTGTTCTAACCTGCTTCCTCAATAAGAAAACAGAGGCTTTAAAGGCAGGATCATTTGTCCAGTGTCGCCAGCTAATGAGGGATAGAGGAAGAGGTGACATCCAATCCAGAGCCCAAGCCTTTAATCTCCATCCATACGGGCAGGGCCTGAGCTAGCAGCTTGGGGGTGATTTGGGAGTTGGGGCTCAGTGTAGATTAGAGATCTGGGGCTCTGTGGTCAGTTTGGCCTGGAGCAAAATCAGGAGATCAGAACTGTGGGTGAGTGGGGGCGTCAGGGATAGTGTGGGGAGGAGGAGCTGGTGGGAGGCTGAGTCTGGGTGGGACAGGTTTGGGATGAGCTGACTGCAGGGGTGGGGTCACTAGGTCAGGGCCAGCCTGGGGTGGGCACTCACCTGCCGAAGCTTGACCATGGCCTCGCTGGGGATGATCTCATTGTGGTACAGCCTAGTGACAAAGCAGAGGGCCTGGAACTGACTCTGCCCCTTCTCCAGCTCCCCCAGGATCAGGGCACGGAAGATCTTCACGTCCTGAAAGGGAAAAGAACAGGAGGATGGAGACCAGCTGGAGAGAGGGGCCCTGGGCCAGCCCTGGAGAGGACAGGCCTGAACACTACCCTGCCCCAGCAAAAGACACTTCCCTCCCCCGCCCTAGGAAACTGCTTGTCTTTGTCTTTTCCATTTACATACCAAATGTTCCCCAGCATTCTAGAAAACTGACAAAGTGAACCCACTGCAGAGGTTTTCTAAAGAACCCTTTGACCTTACAGAGCTTTACCTCAAAAAGACAGCACCTCTTTTTGGCACTTGTCCATCTCTGATGCCTCCCTTGGTAAAGTCCCCAATGTCACTTTGATCAGTGTGGGTCAGGGACCCTGAGACCACTGACCAGGGTGCCATGGAGGAGGGGCTGCACTTTTTATAAGCACACATTCCAGAGCTTTCTCTGACATCATTACTCAGTAGGTAATAAACTCAGTATGTTTGAAGAAAAAGCCTCAAAAATACCCCTACATTATTTGCAGTCATCCTGATTCCTGCCCCCGACCCGCCGCTCCACCTCTAGCAGGGGTTTGTAGGGGGCAGAAGCAGCAGGCTGCAGCTGTTGCTGCCATCTAGGGCTGGGCTGGCTCACCTTTCCCCTTCCCTCTCCATTTCCTCTTTCCCCATGGGGGTGGGGGTTACTCATGGCATGACCAGCAGGCCAAGAGTGCCTTCCTGTTTCTGACTCAGTATGTGCAAGAGGGAGGCTAGCTTGGGCAGAGGGAGCAGAGCCATAGGGTGGGATGGGGTGCCTTTCCCAGTCTGGGTACAGCTGGAACTCTCCACTGCACCCTCCTGTACCCTCTCACCCATCTCTGTGCCTTCCCAAAGCTGCTTGCTCATGGGGAGATGTTAGCAGGCCCCAGTCAGAAGAGGTCTAAATCTATAATGAGCCCTCCTACCAGGGAGGCACCCTGGCCTTAGTGATAGGCTGGGAATCCTTTGGCCCTCAGGCTTGAGGCTCTGCCCTGGCACTAGGCTATGCAACTCTGGCCAGTTACTCATTGCTCAGTGCTTGTACCCCAGGTTACCCCACCCAAAGCCACCTTCACTGAAGGTTTACTATATACCTGCTAGGGTCCAGTGTTTGGAGAACAGGGTGGGTACATTCCCCAGGATTCTAAATACAAGTAGAGAGAGGCCCAATTTTCTACTACAAAACTGCATGTATAAGCTGGTCCCCTAGCTTTTCTAAGCCTCACTGTGACAGGGGACAGTTCCTGTGCTTGGTAAGCTTGTGAGGAGGACCAAGCCATGATCTAGAGGGGAAAAGTGTTCAGCACTGTGAGCCAGGGTTACTGCCATCACTGCACTCAGCAAATGTCACATGATCTGGGACACATGAGCACCTGCCATCTTCTAAATCCCTCTCGATTTCTGCATCCCCCCGAACTCTACAAGGAGTCTCTCTTACTTCCATTACTGTAAATGATTTCTTCAACAACAAGGCGTGGGAATGTGGAGGGGGATTTTCCGGGAAAGGGAAACTGAGACCTAGCTGCTGAGAAAGGTTCCATGAGGCTCCTTCTTATCCTAGAGCCTTGGACAGAAGGTGAGTCAGCTGGGCTTAACTCCCACTTCCTCTAGACAGGAAATCCCTCCTTGGGTACAGTGCTGGCATCTCCTTGTTCTGCCAGCCTGGGTCATCTGATCTTCTATTCACTCAGGTCGGCTGAGGGGACACTAGAGGCTAGTTCACTGGTGGCAGATCCCATTCTGGGCTCAGTTCCTGTCAGGTGGGACTCCATACCAGACTTTCCCCTCTGAGAGCCTGAGTCAGGTGAATGTACCTGACAGGATTCTCAGGTAAGACCCAAAGTCCACCTCACTGCTGTTTTCAGCTCTGGCTTTATTGAGAACCCTATCTGGATATTCCTGTCTTCTCCACTGAACATTTACTACCCTGTGGTCTCAGGGCTGCTGAGGGTCCTACTGAGTGGTGGTACCACCTGCCTACTACTAGCAGTGGAAGGGATCGAACTTTTAGATCAGACTGGAGGTTGGAAGATTTTTTTTCTTGAGGGTCTAGGGAGATGGATGGCTCAGTGGGTTAAGTGCTTGCCACACAAGCATGAGGAACTGTTTAATTGCCAGCACCAATGAAAAAAGTGGGTATGATGGTGTATGTTTATAATCCAGTGTTAGGGAAGTGGAGACAGGAGAACCCCTGAAGCTCCCTGGCCAGCTAGCCTAGTTTAATTGGAGAGCTACAGGTCCCAGTCAGAGACTGTCTCAAAAAAACAATGTGAATGGCTCCTGAGGAAAAATATCCAAGGCTGACCACTGGCATCCACATGTGTAAATGCTCACATGTTCACGTATACCTGCATGCAAGTGTGCACACGCACACACAACCCACATGAAATCTGTTTGAACTTCTTCCCTGCTTCTGAATTAAGTAATAAGAGCAATGGCAATCACCAAATGCCACCAACATAGAAAGCTGGCCATTGAGACAGAGGATGTTCTCTCTATCTGGGCAGGACAAAAGTCATTGACATTTATAACTGAGAAGGAGAAACAACTGTTATTATAGGTCAAACAGGATGCACCATCCTATTTAAAGTTCTTTCAACAACGGGAGGCAGAGCTCTGACTGTGACTGAGTTTGGATTGTGTAACTTGCTTAAGCTCATGGGCTAAGGGAAAATGTAGCCAGGACTTTAACCCAGGTAGTGTGGCTGACTTGAAGCTGGGCTCTTCTAACCAGAATACACAACTGCCTCCTAGATCAACTAGTCTAATTTCTTTGATGTTCAAATAAAGAAACCAGATGTGTGGATATACTGGTATATACCTGTATTCCTAGTACTTGGGAGGTTGAGGTAGAAGGATTGAGAGTTTGAAAGCAGCCTGTGCTACATAGAGAGACCCTGCTTTGAAGGAAGAAGAAAGGAAGGAAGAAAAAAGGGATGGAGGAAGGGCAGGAAGGAATGAACGGACAAACAAAGAAATGAATGACTGACTGAATTAATGAACAAACTGAGGCTTAGGACACGAGGTTCTGTGCTCGTCTACTGGCCTCAGAGTCAGTGAGTGGCAGAGGCACTTGGTTCCCTCCCTATCACACTCATTTGGCCACCATCCCCAAATCTTTGATTGACTTGCCTAGGAACATGCATTCTGCTCACACTGTGTGTTGTCTAATAAGCAGTAATACAAATAAGAAACAAGGCAGGAATACCCTCTACCCCCTACATGCCAGCTCTGTGATAAAGCTCCTTTATACCCTGATTCTCTGGCCTTCTTCGTTCTATTTTCCCCAAAAGCCATATGTTCTTTGCTGGCCCACTACCAGGAAGGAAGTGGGCAGCCCTAGTCTCTGGTTGTCACTCTTTCTGGTCACAAGGCTCCATCATCCAGACTCATGTCCTTCCCACCTGACCTACTAGCAAGGCTCCCTCTGGACAGATGCTTAGACCAGGTAAGATGGAAGCCTGGTTCCCAGCCCTTCTCCTCACCTGGAGTCCCCTGGGATGATTCACCTAGATATGGTCAAAAGTCCAAGGCAGATGGCATTACTGAGCAAGAGCCCATGGAGGGGGATGGAGGCTCAGGCCCTGGTCTGGAACTCCCAAGCCAGGAGGGTTCCATAATGCACCTTCTTCCAGGAACCTATGGCCCACTAGAAGAACTGGGGCATACAGCAAGCAGGGCAAGGCAGGGGTAGTGAGGGTTGCTGAAGTCCTGTCTGGAGCTGTGAGGAATAGGTAGGCTTGAACACAGTGAAGTAGTTAAGAGCAAAGGCTGCAGAGCTAGGACTCCCTGCACTGGGATCCTATCCTACTGCTACTAGCTACATAACCTCAAAAATGTATGTAACCACTGTGTGCCTTAGTTTCCACTCTTGCAAAATGAACACATTAACAGTGCCTACAGTGAGGGAGTACCATGAGGAAAGTGAAAGGTCTCAGAACACAGTGGGTGGAACTCTCAAACTTCTCTTCTGTTGCTGCAGTCTCTGGCTCCTGATATCATCTACTCCAGGCCTGAGAAGTGGTAAAGACTGTTCTATAGATGCACCTGAGTCCCAAGCAAGTCAGATGACTCCTGTATAGTTTGCAATCAGCAAATCAGTAGGAGAACATTGACTAGCATTACCTAAGGCTGGGCTTTCACAAGCACCAGGCTGGGCAGAGAAATGGCCAAGGGCAAGGATAAGAGCCCTGTTATTAGAGGGCTCCTGAGGGAGGCTGACCTCACACAACCAGTGTCAGTGCCATAGTAATAGTTTATGCACGCAAAGGATGGATGAGGGAGTGCCTGTCCTTGTAAAGATAGGGATGAGGTGAAAGGAGGGTGGGAAGACCGCCCCCCCAAGAGTGAGGACAGTGCATCAGTGGTCCTTGACAGGTAAAGGATGTGGTGTTTCTAGCAGTGAGAGGGGCATTTACAGGAGAAAGAGATATCCCTACCCAGTCATCCCCCCATTTTATTGTCATCTGAGTTACTTAATGCCTTTCAAGACTTTTCATTGTATTCTGCATAAAGTATACCCCCAGAGGCTGACATTCCAGGCTCCTGGCTACAGCAACTCTTACATTGCCTATATACTGGACCAGGAATGCAGTTCTTCGAATGAGCAGTGTCAGGTCCACCCTGGATTTTCTGGGAGCCATTCCTCTGTGGTAATGTCCTGCCCTCATCTGTCCCCCATCCTCAGGTCTTGGTGCCCATGCATCACCTACTCAGGCACGTGTCAGGGCCAGGACCTTCGACTCTACAGCAGAGCAGCCTTCCCAGTACTTGCCTTCCTTGCTTATCTCCCCTTCTAGATTCACTCCTTGAATCTGGGAGCATATGTTATTTGCAGAGTCATCTTGCTCCCTAAAAGATAGCACATGCTCAAGAAATGTCTGATAATGCATAAACAAATGAGCAGACAAGAGTATGGATGGGTTCTGAGAAGAATGATCAGCATGTACCAGGGCTGGATGAGGTGGAGAAAGCTTCAGGGGAAGTGGCGAGGTGGCTTAAGAGAGCTATCA